CAGTAGTCAGTCAAGTTTTAGGCTTTAACACAAAGCGGAATAGATCTAGAGAGCATGCAGAGTTTACGGTGAAGGCATGAGTTGGCATATTTTGGTGTGAAATCATGAGTGCAAATAAGATAAGATAGGAAAGACTTCCTATAGGAATTTTCAAGCTGCGGGTACTCAAAGAAAAAGTTTGAGCATAAGAAGAATGCAAAATGTGCAGAGTGAATAGGAAATGATTGACTTAGGACTACATTGACTTTGATAGACTAGATTAGTTCTGTTTTCTTATGATTAAACAAGAGAAAGGGAATAAAAGGAACACCATGTTAAACTTAGCTGAAAACGGTCTTATTATACCAAAATTCAAATTCCAAGAGAAAATAGAAGTAGAATATATATATTTTATATAATAATACTTATAGTAAATAGATACTTATAGTAAATAGATTTATATACCCTGAACCCTGTGTATTATAAATAATATTTTCATTTCTCATAAGAGATTTAAGGAATGGAATCATTAATCTGATATATGTTTGTTGTCAGGTTTATTCGATCTGCTCCTTTCACTTTGAGCAGATTTGGGTGAAGCTTAAGGCCAAAAAATTCAATAAAGGGTTATTTGCTTTGTGGGTTGTATGAAGGGTCTCGAAGGCATAATGAAAGCTCGTTAACCGCAGAATTGTCTGACAGCTTGTCGCATATTTACATGGGAAGTGAGACGCGTCTCGGATGCCCTGTTATAATTCAGAACTTGTAATTGTGTGCAAACAAACGCAGCAAATGCAATTTCAATTAAGCAGCTACAACAACATGGGAACACGACATCAAAGCGCAGCACGAGAGTGAGCGAGATGGCGCGATGGAGAGACTGATGTGCGGGGAAAAAAGTGAAATCGAATCCGTTAACATCACACGCTTTGTTAAGCAGTGTCCCCATACAGGAAAGATGCCACTCGAAACGCTTGTAAGGCTTCCCCCTCCCTCCCTCCCTCCCTCCCTCCTCCTCACGTCAGGCAAACGCAACCGCAAGTGCGTAGCCTGTCAGAGGCTGTGTTGCCAGTGCAGGCCTCGCTGTCTCGCTGCCTCGCTGAGTGCCGTGCTGCATGTAGCATGTAGCAAGTGGCAAGTGCAGCGCCAGGTGCACTGACATTGACGCGCACGACTGCAACAGCAGCAGCAGCAGCAGGAGGGGACTTGCCACACAGCCAGCTGTTCCGCAGCGAGCCTTGAGCCCAAAACAAACTCGTCTGCTTTTTGCTGAACGCCTGCTGGCCGACCGGCGCGTCTGCAAGGGCGTTCCCGAGTTGCATTTCGAGCCCCTTTCACTGTGCATTGTATACGATTGTTTTTTACTTTACTCTCCCTCTCTCTCCCTCTCTCTCTTTCGTGTTTCTGTTTCTGTTTTTTTTTTTTTTAGCATGCAGCTCAGCTGTGTGTTTTGTCAACATGGCAGCCAAGCAAATCCAGTTACGATTCCCAGCTCCAGCTCCAACTCCAGTTCCTGCACCAACTCCTGCACCAACTCCTGCACCGACTCCTGCACCAGCTCTAGCTCCAGCTCCTGCATTGTGCGCCTTTTTGTGTGCATTGTTTTTGTTAGCTCTGTGTGGGAGCTGTGCTGTGGCAAGACGGGCGCGGCGAGTCGAGTTGCCGTTGCAGTTAATTGAAAATACTAAATTTTCACTGTCTAGACGGCAAATTATATGACAATTGTTAGAGCGCATGTTTGACTTTCATATTAAAATTAATTACTTGGGCTGCTTGCCATAAAAATGGGCACTGGTTAAATATTAGAGATATGCAAATACAAATATATAGCTAAACTATAGTATATACTATATATAGCTAAAATTAAAGCTCATTTAGTTAATTATTTGTGTGTGCATTAACTGAGCTGGCAGCTTAAATTAGTTTGCATATAAAATAGAGTTTATCAAATGAAAATATGGAATTCTATCCGGTTCGACTCGGCTTCTGTTATATAACGCTTCTTTTGGTATGATATATAATTCAGTTCTTCAGGTATATAAATCAAGGTCTAAATGAGAATGTTCGAAGCTTGAGCCTAAGCTAATAAAATATTTTTGGCACTTAACCAGTTCCATGTATCCGTAGTTGGCTAAGCCCAAACGCACGTTTTTGTGTGAATTCATTTCATAAAAGGTAAGCCTAACTATGCGATAACCTGTTTATCATAAATCTTTCAGTCAGCGGAAACAAGTCGGTTTTTACATACATAGTTGAAAGTTGGTTGGTCTAGCTAAGAAATGCTCTGAGATGTAAAGTTCGACAACCCATAGATTTACTCTAAATCTCTCTAGAATTCTTATTCACTAAGTCTGAAGCCCCTCTCTGTATAGACTTGATGCAATTTTCAATGCAATTTTCACACATCAAGAGAGAGAGAGAGAGAGAGAGAGCGCGAGAGAGAGAGAGCGAGGGAGACCTAATCACAAGTTGGCTATGATCATAATTAATGCCGTAATTGCAAATGCATTAAAATTACGGAAATCTCATAAATGCCGAGTTCAGCCGTACAGGAAATTGAACGAAATTTACACAAAAGGCAATTACAAACGGAAATCGTGCGAAAGCAAAACACCTTTGACGATTACCACATACACACACACACACACATACGCACATACACATATGCACATTGGGTATTCCTTTGGCGTTTAATAAACAATGAAATTGAAAATTTAAGATGCTTAGCCAACGAGTCGTAGGCCAGCATATGTCAGTTTTGCCATTACAGTCATGCAAGTAATTACACTGACCGCCTCACTAAGTCACAAATTTTATGCATTCTGTAAATTGCAACAGCAATCTATATATGTGTGTATGTGTGTGTGTATGTATGTTTACTATTTGACTACTGCAAATTCATTAACTGCAACTCCTTGTTGCTGTCGTTGTTGTGGCTCTTTTGGGCAGCATCTTGAGAATCCAAATTTGCATCTACTTCAACATTGACTTTACCGATTTTGCCTTACGCATTTTATTACGTGTTTATTATGCTAACAATGCGAGAAAACTTTGCCGGTGTGTGCGAATGCATGTGTGTGTGTGTGTGAGTGGTGCAAACAGTGGCGCAGTTCTTCAAGGAATGAAAGTTAAACATAACTAAAATTCATGTAGATAAACACGTGTTAATGAATATGCAAAATAGTCGAGCCCTGAGAAAGATAAACGAGCTGTAGATACACATATATTTGGGTTTTGGCAGATATTGAAGATATGAATTATATATATATGTATAAAGATGAATAGTTACACTACTTGTAAAATTCTAAGTGACAGAGTTTAAGAGCTACAAAAGTTGAGAAAATTCATTGCAGTTTGAGGTGTGGAATGGAAATATTCTTAAGACTTAATTGTAAAATAAAAATAATTTTCTGTGAACATAAGTCTACTCAAGACTGTCTTCTATTTATATTTTATTTATATATATGTTTCAATATTTATTATTAAAATATATATAAGCTAATAAGGAATGTTTAACAAACATTCCTCGACTGATTCCTAATTAGGGTTTGATTATAATTATTTAATAAATATATACACATATATATTTCTACACAAATATCAAAATTTTCAATTGTAATTCTTGATCAAATCTTAATCTTTTATTTAATTTAATATCAATATTTCATGCGCTATGCTGTCTTTCAATATGCAGAAGCTATTGAGGAAACTCTTGGAATATCTAATATGATATCTAATATCATTTATTGTACAACAATTTCCACATTTAATTACCAGGGGCTGTTCAATCATCTGCCGCAGAGCAATGGGGCAGAGAGAGCATTGTTGACTGTGGTATTGGGCTGTTGCGTTCTGATCAATGAGTGGGCTAGGCAAACTCAAGTGCCTGAATGTGGCTCCCAAGTGGCAGCAAACAACAAATGAAATATCTTATAAATATGTATATCTACAATGTCTTTGTGTGTGTGTGTGTGTAAATAAATCAACACACAGACGATGTCACTGGACCACCCTACTTAATGACAGCTGCAGGAGCAGCGCAACCGAAAACTGTAGCCACATAACATATTTTCATTAGAGCATTGTTTCCTTGAATTCTCTGTATGTGTGTGTGTGTGTGTGTGCGTGTGTGTGCTCGCACGACTGGACACCTGAGCTAAGCCAGACGAATGTGTTGTGGAAATGGCAGCACATATTTCTAGTGGCAACAGCCATTTGCATTTCATTTTTCGACAAGCAGAAATATTTTTCAGGCGCAGGACGAACTGTCTGCCAGGACATTATAAATAGTTAGACGACTTCCTTTTGTCTTTTGTTCAAGTGCTCCGCCTCACCACTGCTGCCATCCATGATTGTCTTTCTCTCTCACGTTGTGTATCTGTCTGTGTGTTTGTGTGTGTGTGTTTGTGTATTGAGTCCATCTGTCATTTTAAGTGGCTTATTCATATGCAAGTGGCTTCCGGGGCTAAACATATTCGAGTGTTTTAGTGGCCCGTGTACATGACCGAGCATTATCATTAAGTGCTTATAGGCTGGCTGGCCAAACAAGTCTGTCTCTCTCTCTCTCTCTCTCTCTCTCTCTCTCTGTCCGTCTGTCTGTCTGTGAACAATGATGGCTATTAACACAAAATTGATATACGTGTATAACTGCCTATTGCATACTTTTGCGGGCGCCGGAAGTGACGAGCCATTATTAAGCATACGCACTGTTGCACACTGTAGCATAAGTTGGCTTTCGCTTTTCATTGATGTTGATGTTGATGTGGATGTGGATGTTGTGTTTCTTTGCAGGCGTTGCTATGAAGGCAACGGTCAACAGCAGCAGCAGCAGCGCCGCCAGCAGCATCAACCACTTGGAGCCACTGGCGGCCCCCAGCAGCAGCACCAACAGCAACAGCAACAGCAATAGCAACAGCAACAGCAATAGCAACAGCAACAGCAGCAACACCTGCAAGCCGCGGCAGCCCAAAGTCTCGTTCGCACCGCTGGACATTCCGGCTCCATCGGCCGCTACGTGATACGCGAACATGCCGCACCACAACATCGTTTGCGAGTGGCTGCGCACTATCGGGCTGCCGCAGTACGGCGAGAGCTTCCTCGAGAACGGCTACGACGAGCTGGAGATCTGCAAGCAGATTGGCGAGATCGATCTGGACGCCATCGGCGTGGACAACTCCTCGCATCGCGGCAAGCTGCTCAAGAGCGTGCGGGCGCTGCGCGAGAAGGGCGCTGCGATTGTCTATGTGCTGATCAACGATCCGAAGGCGCTCAGCAACAGCAACGAGATTCTGGCCTCCGACTGCGACACGCCCATTACCATGAAGGAGCTCGAGGGCGTGATGAAGCGCCACCTGGAGGCCGATGGCATACGCCTCACAGCCCATCCCTACTCCTCGCCGGTGAGTACTTCATTTAGTTTTAGTTTCAGCTTCAGTTGCATTGTCGCCTTATCTTGGCCATTTTATTTACCGCTTGCAATTTGCATGCCACGCCATGGGGGACCTGTTGTTCGGTTGCAGCGTGTGACAGTCGCCGCTAGTTTTGTAATGGTCGCCATTCGGGAACGGCCAAGCGGACAGCCTATGCTGGCAGCCTGCCTGGTGCGCTGTGTGCGCTCTAATGTGAAATTAACACGATTTTAATTTAGTTAAACCGAGTGGCCAACCGCGTGTCTGGTCTGGCCGACACTGTTGGCCCTGGCACAGCGACCGCCCACAGAGCCAGCCAGAGCCGGGCAACCGGGCAGCCATTTGTACACATTTCGCTAGAAAGTTTATTTTATAATATGTCGGTTTGGCTTAGCCGTGGGAAATGCTTTTAGTATTGCGTTAATTTTGCTTATTTTAGGCAGCAACTGCCTTTGCCTCTGCCCCCGGCTTGAGCAAATTGGACCATAAACGCCACCGGGGACTGGCAAAATAGCAGAGCAACAGTCGCCCCCTAATGATCTCTGCCAATGTACAAATTTGTGCAGCGCTTGCAACACGGGCAAATTGCTGCTGCTAGACACGCACGATAAAGCAGCGTTGGCAACAATGTGGCCATAATGCAAGTGTTGCAGCAAGCGAACAAAACAACAAAAGAATTCAAATAGATTCCATTAACAGTGGGCTTGGCTCCATAGAAAACTGGAGACAAAACTGCTCAGGTGTGAAAATTGAAGAAAGTTTTTTATTGAATTTTCATTTAAATTATTTACCTAAACTAATATTTTAAATATATATAAAATGGTACATTCATTTGTAGTCGAAAAATATAAAATAAATGAGCTAAGTAATAGATAAGTAAAGAACACAAAGGATAAATCTGACAGCTTGGGAATTATAAGAAGTCTGATGATTTTAACATATTATTATATTATATTTTATCTTATATACATTCATAATGGAAACTAATTTCATTAAGCAAAAAAATATATTAAAAACAGATATTTTTGGATTAATATGCAGAATATTTAGAATATGTTCTAACAGTACCTAAACGCTTTTCTGATTGAGCGAATGTTCCTCATTAGGAAGAAAACTCCTTATAAATGAAACAAATCAGAATTTGTATAAGGCTTCAAGTTTACACATTCCCGAATAATAGAAACATTTATAAACCTTATTCTTACCCGATTTTTGCATAATCATTTCAAATGCATATTTATGAACGGATTTGAGCGCAATTCGAATCGGTCGCGTCCCACTGTGCCACATGCATAAAAAGTGCGCATTTAAGGAAATATACACCAGAGCTCCTCGCACTGATAGAGCTCTGCAGACGTGTGCGCATTGTTGGGTCTGATGCGATGAGTTCTGCGAGCGTGTCTAGCGGCAGCTTTGCACCCACCCGCTCAGCTCTGCACCCGGCAACCCCTTTACCATGGTTCTCTTGCACTTTTGCTGAGCAAATAGAAACATGTCACTGGTTCAGGGCCGCATGCACATTCGATGAAAAGTACGCTGCAAATAAATGCGGAATGAGCCGCTGCTGCCGCTGCTGCTGCTTTTGATTTAAAGTTGCATATTTAGAGCAGTCAGGCGTGGGGTAGGTGGCCACTGCAAATGCAAGTGGGCGTGGTCAGGTGGGCCATTGAGCACGCATCGTTCAGCCGACACATTATGCACTGGCCATGCCCAACACCTGCCCAAGTGCCGAACTGTGCCGCTTGATGATGGAGCACGCAACGGAGCAACTCTTGGTTCGGGCTCTGTCTGCCTGGCAGCAGCTGCCTTGCATTCTAATTAGCAGTTTGGATGCTCTTCCTTTTTTTGGGCACTTAACATAGTTTGCCTGTTCGCATGTAGACAAATAAACAAACAAACATTTTGTGCAACGCGTCGTATGCGCAATATCACGTCTCAGCCGCAAATTGAAATGCAACTTAAATGCGGCAATAAAATTATATGAAATGGAAATGCAGTCAAGTAAAAATACATGTCTACATGTGTGTGCATTTGTGTGTGTGTGTGTGTGACAGGTGTCTGCGCTCGTGCGAGACTACAAAAGCTTAGAGAAGGAAGCTGGGCCAGGGGCTAGACTTGTTAGCTTCTGGCTGCTTGGCTCTGTCTGGGCCATGTTGATGCGCGCAGCTTCAACTAATTGCACTTTGCGCTGATGAGGCAGACACGAGTGTGTGTGCCAGTGTGTGTGCATGTGTGTGTGTGTGCGTGTGTGCATCAGTGACTGACTGACAGTTGCAGACAAGTTGCATTTCAGCACAAATGTTTGCATGGCTGCGACTCTAAATGAATTTGCCTGGCAGCAACAGTAGCAGACAACAGTTACGCACACATACACATACACACACACATACATACACACAGAGAGATAGACATTTGGAGTGCCTTAAGAGGATGCACTGATGCTTCAGTGGACACTTTGAATGTCAAGCAGGACACATTTAACTAGCAGCCTTACGCTAATTACCGGAAGATATTAACACTTGTGTTTCTGGGCCACAAAGCGTCTTAGCAGTTGACCCTGGTCAGCATCAGCATCAGCATCAAAGCGACAATTGCGGCTGCTGGCTACAGGTGGAATGTGGAGATTAAAGATATGTGCGCATACAGGGATGTGAATGAGTTCCGACTGAGAGAGCAGCTCAGCCGCTCCTCAGCTGCAAATTGAATTTCGATTAAACCGAGCATGTGGCTTGAAAATCTTTAGTTATGGCTATAATTAAATAGCATTGTTAGCATTGAGCTAACAGGCAAGTCAAACTCTGATCCTAACTTTAAGCCACGATCAGCTTGCCTATTAGCTTGATTAGCTCCTATCTACAAATACTAATGCTTAACATTTATTTCTTATTTCCCCCCTTTCAAATGCTTTTCCCGCAGGAGGGCAAACGCGGCTACTTGGAGGGTCTCGCTGCGCATTATAGCAAGCAGATTAATATGCCCTACGAGGACGTACTGGATGCCATCGAGCAGGTGCGCGTGTCCAAGTGGAAGGAGCGTCATGTGCGCATCTCGACGGGACATACGCTGACGCGACGCAGCGCTGGCGCCGGCAGCGGCAGCGGCAGTGGCAGCGGTGGCAGCGGCAGCGGCGGCAGTGGTAGCAGCAGCGCCACCGGCGGACTCGTGGGCTCCTCGGTGCTGCCCACCAGCCACAGTCAGCCGCTTTATGTGCCCGGAAAGTATTTGGTAAGCAGAGAGCACATTGACTTTTACGGCTGACTGTTTTTACGAGCCGGGCTAATCAGGCCGCACGAGCCGCATGGCGAATGAGTTCTAATTCATTTCGTTTATTATGCATGTATGCAGCCATCGAGCTGTCTGTCGAATCGCGAGGAGAACGAGATCTACAGCTATACCCAGAACGATTTGGCCAATCGGATGGCCCGCAACGCCATCGACTCCAAGTCGGCGTTCAATTTGAATGGCATGCAGCACAGCTATCCCGGAGCGCGCACCAACTTCTTTTACGACTTTTCGGCAACAGGTAAGGCAGGGGCCAGGTGAGAATGCGGCCAGGTGCATGCGCTGCATGTGGCCTGCCCATTTGCCAATTTGCCACTTTGATGCGGCTGTTTGAGTTTTTATGGCTTTTAATTCAATTACATTGGTTTCGACTCGCCCGCTACTAAATCGTTAGCTGTATGTTTAGCGTACGGCTTGTGGCTTTTAATATCGGTTTGATTTCTCTCTCTCTCTCTATCTCTCTCTCTTTTTCCGGCAGAGGGGCGCAACAAGAACAAACAGCGACGCACGGTATTCGCCCGCTTCCTGCAAGGCCTGCGGCAGAGCGGAGACGAGCTCAATGCCAACGAGGGCATGCAACTGAAGGTGAGTGTGCGGAAGGGGGCGGGGAAGGGTGTCAAATCGTCATACTTAACGGCTGTTTAATATATTGAATATTGATTTGAACGAAATGGGGAATCGAGCAAATGGGGACAGTTTGTATAAAGAGGTTTTAATGGCGGTAATTAAAAGAAAACAGTAAAAGAAGCGAGATGGTAATGTAAAGGCATTTCATATTAAGTGTGTCACTCTCTCTCTTTCTCTTTCTCTCTATTTGTAAATTTCCTTAGCCTGTAGCGAACTTGCATTTATTCCTAACTGTACATTATTCATTACATTTGTTTACTAGGGGTAAATTATTAGTAAGTGTTTTATATCAGAGATATTATAATGAATACGAGGAATTTATTATAGATATTAATGGCAATATATATATACTAGAGGTATTATTATATATAATAGAGATTTAAACATAGTATCAAATGCAATTTAGCTTGGGTGTTGTTCAGTTGTTTAATTCGTGGATTTTAGTGTCTCTATAATAGAAACTCGCTCTATTAAAATAAACTTTGTTTATGCCATACACATTAGTTGGGATTTTTATTTCCCATCAGGTATTATGGCATTCGTCGGAGGAAATTAAGTGAGTCATAAGTTTAAGAATTGCTAAGGGCTATTTCCTTATCAAATAGAATATTTTTGTTGTAGGTAAATTCAATTATCTACTTATTATTTCCTCATCATTTAACTGCAACAAGTAATTTTGTTAGGGCTCGTTACATTATCGATAGAGTACAAGGTTAAGTGGAATTATAATTATTTCTGCCTTATTTGACTTTTCCTTTGTTTTCTTTTCTATTCGGGTATTATGGTGTGTATAGAGCGTTATTTTGCATATTTAACTGCTATGTAATATACTTCAAAGCAATTTGTGCCCTCAACCAATGAGAGAAACTTTTTGAACGCTCTTTTTATGTCTAATTTTTGCAAAGACAAACTTTTGACCTCGGGCACCGCCTCCCGTGTGCTACTTATAAAATTAAATTAAAATATAAAAACCGCGTTAACCTACAAATAACAACAGCAACAACAACAACAAAGAGAGCCACTGCCAAGTTGACAGAGTCGGAGTCAGAGTGAGAGAGACATAGAGAGAGAGAGAGAGAGAAGGAGGATGAGGAAGTGGAAGGCAAACAAAGGGAAAAAACTTATCAGGACTAAGCCGATAAAAGGCAATTACCGTTAATTGCGTTGCCTTGTGCGAAGGGCGTTGCACGAGATGACAAAACAGAAATGTAAGAGTACGCAAAAGGCCGATGGAGTGCGAGAGAGAGGGAGAGAGAAAGAGAGAGGGAGGCAGATAAAGATGGGGTGCAGCTGTTATATGTGCAGCATGCAAATGGTGAACGGACAACGACCAAAGAGATATGAACTGTGCAGGTGAGGTGCAAGGATGTGCCACGAAGAGGCAAAGGATTTGTCCGGTCTAGCTTAACGGCTTGCAGTACGTTTCTGCACTTCTTGGGGAATGGCCGGAAGCTGAAACAGAGAGAGAGAGAGAGAGAGGGAGATAGAGAGTTAAAGGTACATTGCTGGTCGCCCACTCATTTGCACCTTTGCGCGTTTGCTTTCTGTGGTTGGCATCCGTTGATTCCCAACACACGAATGTCCTTTTCCTTTTGTTTTTTGTATTACGTATTTCGTATTTTTATTTTTTTTCTGTTGAGGGGGGAACAGCATTCAACGACAGCGTCGCATTTGTTTTTATTATTTCAGGCGTGCCAAAAAGTGTTTTGTTTTGCGAGTCTCTTTTTGTGCTCCTGAGAGAGTTTATAACTTTTCGTGTTTTACGGTTGTTGTCCGGCTTTTCTTTGCCGTATTTGTGTAGCTTCTTTTCTCTGTTGTTCTTTTTTCCGACCGCTTTTTTGTTGTTGCTGTTCATTTAATATTTAAGCGCAATTTGCTGTCGCCCAGCGCAACAGAGTCCCGACTCTCGACTTTTTGTGCGGCGTGGTCAATTTTGAAAATGACTTGGGCTAAGCACTGGCGACAATTGTGGCCCGCAATTTCACCCTGTGTGCGTGTGTGTGTGAGTGTGTGTTTGTCCTTTGGCACTCATTACCTTTTTTGAGGACTGGCAGGAGTCGGGGTGGCGGTAACAGCTGCCGGCCATGGTTAGCCAACAACAACAAGAGCTCACAGAGACGCGTATGTACGATTCTAAACTTGGCTGCGCTCTCTCATTATGCGGTCTGTTGCGGAAATGTTGCTTTGGGGAAATTCTCAGTTTGGCCTTTCATTAATTTTTCGTTGCTCGCCGCTTTTCATTTGACATTTTCATTCCCATTTTCGCTCCAGTCTTTTTTCAGCTCTCTTTTTTGTGGTTTTTGTTGTGAGGTGTCGATTTGTTTCATGCCGTCTGGCAGCCAGAGCTGCGCTCTGCTTAGTTTGATAAAGTAATCATGGGTTGCAGCCATACCTATTTATATCATGAATTTATGTTTGTATTTAACAGACGAACGAGCGCTTGAAAAGCTGCGGTACCATGAAGCGACCCGAACCGCCGCAGGACTTTGAGAAGACCATACAGCGTGTAAATATAGCAACCCCTGCCCAAACCCAACCTACGAGCCGCGCACTATTCACATCGACTAATGCACACCCTCTCTTTTGCAATTTCCATCTAATTCCGGCGTTCTCCATCCTCGTGCAGCTGAAGACGCAGAAGGCGGCGCAGAAGAAACCAGCCAGCGCTCCCCTGGACATGGCCCTGCACGAGCGCAACAAGGAGGTGGCCCACAGCCTGGCCACGGAGATGCCATTGAACAATTACACGAAGCATCCCTAGGACACGGTCATCAGCATCGATGCTGCATAAGATTTACATATTTAAGTGACAGGCATTCATACAGGAGGAGGAGGAGGAGGATAATACGAGTTGGGCCCGGGTGATACACACGTTAAGCGAGCAATACGAATTTATAATAAGCTTAGTCTAGTTGATAGTTCAGTGTAAAGGTGATATTGAACAGTATAAGAGCTAGTTGTATAACAGTTGATAGACAGTTCGCAGCGAACTGCAAATAGACAGTTGAAGCCATTACAATAATTACAAAAGCAATCCAATAGATTATTCACATCCAACTCGAGACCCAAAGCCAGTTGAACTGAATTTCAAGTTTTTTGTTTAACATATGCATCGCAAGGACTTAATTACATTTATTTTTGGGCGCACACAGAGATACACACACACTCACACACATACAGTTAGCTAAAAGCTGAAAGCTAAAAGCATTCACAAATCAATCAAAAGTTCTTCTAACATGCCAGAGCATATGCCATACTTGATATTCCACGAGCTGCATTCAGGCACTGAAATAACTAGGGGCAAACGCATTCGAAAACTTGGCAAGGAATGTTGACAAAACGCGAAATTCCAACAAGATTAACGCTGAATCAACACGACCACACACACCCATACACACACACATATATATAGACGAATGCACACGCACAGCAAACTTGCGCTAACCGCAGACGTTGCATAGACAATCCAGCAACTGTTGCTGGTTGCGGTCCTCGCTGCTCTGCCCGGATGCTGCTGCTACTCCTGCTAGCTGACTGGAATGGGTGCATCTCGCATTGGAGTGCATCGATTTTGGTCTTTGGCTTATTGGGTGGGCGTTGCTGGATGTGGGCAGCACTCGCTGCCGTTGGCTTTTTTGCATTTTAATTGCATGTCGCGCAGAAAAGTATGCAACGAAGTTGACACTGGCCAGAGCCAGGCTTCCCCTCTCTCTCTCTCTCTCTCTCTCTTTGTCTCTCTCTCTTTCACTCATTCTTGCCCACCCTCTTGTTGAATGGAATTTGCATTTTGCAATGAAAGCGGGCAAAAGCATTTGAAATTCGCTTATAATTTTATTTGCTTTTTGGCCGAGAGGCAGCAAAAATGGTCGATAAGAGAGACAGGCACGCCGTTGTCCTCGCAATTCGCGGACTCACAAATGTTTCAGTTCCTGTTGCTGGCGACTGCATTTGTTATTAAATGTCTGCTGGCGCCTTATGGAGCTGCCAAAATTGAAACATTTAGCGGATACGTGAGTGCAAAACAAAACGCTCCAAAAACTATGGCCATTTAATGGGGCTTGCGTGTCTGCGTTTCCGCATCCACAGCCACAGCCACATCGCCATCCTCATCCGTTTGTTGGCAGCCCTCAACGTGATTAGCCAAAGTACTTTGCTGGCAGCCGAAAAGGCAGTTTTTGTCGCCGTTTTGCCAAAGATATCGACAGAGCCGTTCTGGGCAACGCTTTCGCCTCAGTCCAGCCAATTCGCGGTGCAAATCAACAATTATTGCAAATTGTTGTATTTGTGTAATCTGATGTGTGCAACGTGCTCCATTATGCCGGACTTGAAACTTGATTGCGAATCGCTTGCTTTATGAAATATCCATTATTTCTCTCGCTGTTGTCCCATGTGTGGGTGTGTGTGTGTGTATGTGTGCACATGTATTATTTGCTTTTAATTTTTGTTAACGTGCAATTAAGCTAGCGCTTGTGCTCGCGATGCAGGCCTCGTTTGGCATTTTATCATTTCATCATTGAAATTTAATTAAATGCAATGAAAGCTCATTCGTAAAATCAACCAGCCATAGTGAAATAGTATAGAGACAAACAAAATGCAAACAGTGAAAAAAGGTGAAATTAAATATAGGCAATATAGGCAGTCATGTATTAAATTGTGCGCCATTTTAAAATACATACAGTACCGTTACATGCATGCACATGCACACATACATATATATCTCTCTCCCTGTATGAGTGTGTGTGTGCATGCCAAACACAAGCAGGATTACAATAGCAATACAACGAATCAGTTTATACATATACGTACATACATACATACATACATATATATATAAATCTATATTTATGTACGAGCAAAAGGTTTTTCAATTTGTTGCAGGCTCAATTTTATCGTTTGGTATATAGGCAAATATTAAGTATACGCAGCAGCATAATATATACGTACAATATATAATGGAATGCATGCATTAAGTAATAGAGTTCTTACTTCAATCAAAGCTGCATATATATCTCTGTTAATATCACTTTATATATACGTAATACACAGATTCATATGCAAAGTGCCAGTTGAAATAAAGAATGTGAACACGTCTAATTGTAAGCCAGCTGAATATAATGAAAGTAAATAGGGATATTCATACAGTCAAGTAGTCGAGTATTCATAGCTACGATTAAGGCAATGCGAAAGCAATAACATTTAGTGCTCGCCAATCAAAATATTAAAAACAAAACCAATTTTTAAATGACCATCGAAGTTCGTTGAGCCATTGAGGAATAAATTAATATTTAAAGAGACATCAATACAAATGGGGGCATGCATATTTATTGGCAGCGCATAAATATAGATGGGATACAAAATATTTACAATGATAAATACTAGAGTAAAAACTCAAATAATTATATAAATATAAATATGTATACATTTTCAATTTAGATTTTTAAGTGTTTAAGCAAAATGCCAAAATGCATTTTAAATGCCCGGCTCAAGCGAAAAACTTGTTTACACAATTCGAAACAAATATTTATGAATATAAGCGCAAAAATAAAAATAAAAATATGACATTTCCACATATTTATATATATTGATTACAGGCATATATAAATTTAGCATATGTATTTTGAATAAGCATTTGGAAAACATCCGACAAGCAGCACTAAACAAACGATTTTAATGTATGCCACTTGGTTTATGGCACACGGCACATTTTGTATTCAAATATATAGGAAATTTGCATATATTGCGAGGCACGCTTGCATCAAATCGAACCAAAAGTAATATACAATAAAATAACAAGTGCATATGAAAATGAAAATGAAATGAATAAAATGTTTTACCATTGTATATTGCATTTTCTTTTAGATTGAAAATGGTTCTACTCATTGGGAGCAAAAAACTTGTTTTCTAAAATATATCGATGTATGCTGTATGCTGTATGCTGTATGCCGTATGCCGTATGCTGTATGCTGTATGCTGTATGCTGTATGCTGTATGCTGTATGCTGTATGCTGTATGCTGTATGCTGTATGCTGTATGCTGTATGCTGTATGCTGTATGCTGTATGCTGTATGCTGTATGCTGTATGCTGTATGCTGTATGCTGTATGCTGTATGCTGTATGCTGTATGCTGTATGCTGTATGCTAAATAGAAGGTATAGCCCTATGAATGATTAAGAAACTGTGCTTAACTCTTCTAGTGAATGTAATAAAAACAAAATTCGAAACTTGAGTTAAGGCGGCTGCATGACAAAAGCTGATTGCTACGAGACTCTGCATGACAAAAGCTGAATGCTACAAGACTTGATGTATGCTACTGTATGCCATATGCTGTATGCTGTATGCTGTATGCTGTATGCTGTATGCTGTATGCTGTATGCTGTATGCTGTATGCTGTATGCTGTATGCTGTATGCTGTATGCTGTATGCTGTATGCTGTATGCTGTATGCTGTATGCTGTATGCTGTATGCTGTATGCTGTATGCTGTATGCTGTATGCTGTATGCTGTATGCTGTATGCTAAATAGAAGGTATAGCCCTATGAATGATTAAGAAACTGTGCTTAACTCTTCTAGTGAATGTAATAAAAACAAAATTCGAAACTTGAGTTAAGGCGGCTGCATGACAAAAGCTGATTGCTACGAGACTCTGCATGACAAAAGCTGAATGCTACAAGACTTGATGTATGCTACTGTGTGCCGTATGCTGTATGCTAAATAGAAGGTATAGCCCTATGAATGATTAAGAAACTGTGCTTAACTCTTCTAGTGAATGTAATAAAAACAAAATTCGAAACTTGAGTTTAGGCGGCTGCATGACAAAAGCTGATTGCTACGAGACTCTGCATGACAAAAGCTGAATGCTACAAGACTTGATGTATGCTACTGTATGCTGTATGCTGTATGCTGTATGCTGTATGCTGTATGCTGTATGCTGTATGCTGTATGCTGTATGCTAAATAGAAGGTATAGCCCTATGAATGATTAAGAAACTGTGCTTAACTCTTCTAGTGAATGTAATAAAAACAAAAGTCGAAACTTGAGTTAAGGCGGCTGCATGACAAAAGCTGATTGCTACGAGACTCTGCATGACAAAAGCTGAATGCTACAAGACTTGATGTATGCTACTGTATGCCGTATGCTGTATGCTGTATGCTGTATGCTGTATGCTGTAATACTGCAGAGCTAATGATTATGGCTATTAAATTGTAAAACATTGATATCTCCACACAAAAAGCAATCCATAATATGATTTGGTATCGATTTTTATCAATTTCGATAACTTTTTTATCGATTTCGATAACTTTTTTATCGATTTCGATAATTTTTTATCGATTTCGATAACTTTTATCGATTTCGATAACTTTAATCGATTTCGATAACTTTTATCGATTTCGATAACTTTTTATCGATTTCGATAACTTTTATCGATTTCGATAACTTTTTATCGATTTCGATAACTTTTATCTATTTCGATAACTTTTATCTATTTCGATAACTTTTTATCGATTTAGATAACTTTTTATCGGTTTCGATAACTTTTTTATCGATTTCGATAACTTTTCATAGATTTCGATAACTTTTTATCGATTTCGATAACTTTGTATCGGTTATGGCCGAAGCTAAATGCTCATCAATGCCACAGACTGAATATTATAAGTTCATTGTTCAAATAGAAAACATATTCATGATCACTGATATATAGATGCTCTTAGATTAGATCTTCTAGCGAATTTATGGCAGAAGATAACTGACAGAAGCTGAATGATAGACACTCGATGAATGGTACATCCTATTTGGGTATGCTGTATGTATGTATGTATGTATGTATGTAATAAAAACAAAATTCGAAACTTGAGTTTAGGCGGCTGCATGACAAAAGCTGATTGCTACGAGACTTGATGTATGCATACATGCATTTATATAGATTTCGATAACTTTACATCGATTTCGATAACTTCTTATTGGTTTCGATAAATTCTAATCGGTTTCGATAACTTTTCATAGATTTCGATAACATTTTATCGGTTTCGATAAGTTTAATCAATTTCGATAACTTATTATCGATTTCGATAACTTTTATCGATTTCGATAACTTTTCATAGATTTCGATAACTTTTTATCGATTTCGATAACTTAACTCTTCTAGTGAATGTAATAAAAACAAAATTCGAAACTTGAGTTAAGGCGGCTGCATGACAAAAGCTGAATGCTACAAGACTTGATGTATGCTACTGTATGCCGTCAATGACCTTGGGGGGTCAATGACCTTGGGGGGTCAATGACCTTGGGGGGGGTCAATGACCTTGACAAAAGCTGAATGCTACAAGACTTGATGTATGCTACTGTATGATGTATGCTGTATGCTGTATGCTGTATGATGTATGCTGTAACTAATTTGTTACTAAAAGTACTTTGAATTAGTATGCTTTATATAGATTTCGATAACTTTACATCGATTTCGATAACTTCTTATTGGTTTCGATAAATTCTTATCGGTTTCGATAACTTTTCATAGATTTCGATAACTTTTTATCGATTTCGATAACTTTTTATCGATTTCGATAACTTTTATCGATTTCGATAACTTTTATCGATTTTGATAACTTTTCATAGATTTCGATAACTTTTCATAGATTTCGATAACTTTTTATCGATTTCGATAACTTTTCATCGATTTCGATAACTTTTTATCGATTTCGATAACTTTTCATCGATTTCGATAACTTTTTATCGGTTTCGATAACTTTGTATCAGTTTCGATAACTCTTTATCGAATTCGATAACTTTTTATCGATTTCGATAACTATTTATCGGTTATGGCCGAAGCTAAATGCTCATCCATTGATGCTGTATGCTGTATGCTGTATGATGTATGATGTATGATGTATGCTGTATGCTGTATTTATCAAGTTTTATCAAGTTTTTATCAAGTTGATGTATGCTGTATGCTGTATGCTGTATGCTGTATTTATCAAGTTTTATCAAGTTTATTTGTCTGAAATGGCGCTCAACGTAATGACCTTGGGGGGGTCAATGACCTTGGGGGTCAATGACCTTGGGGGGGTCAATGACCTTGGGGGGGTCAATGACCTTGGGGGGGTCAATGACCTTGGGGGGGTCAATGACCTTGGGGGGGTCAATGACCTTGGGGGGGTCAATGACCTTGGGGGGTCAATGACCTTGGGGGGGTCAATGACCTTGGGGGGGTCAATGACCTTGGGGGGGTCAATGACCTTGGGGGGGTCAATGACCTTGGGGGGGTCAATGACCTTGGGGGGTCAATGACCTTGGGGGTCATTCGAAACTTGAGTTAAGGCGGCTGCATGACAAAAGCTGATTGCTACGAGACTCTGCATGACAAAAGCTGAATGCTACAAGACTTGATGTATGCTGTATGCTGTATGCTGTATGCTGTATGCTGTATGCTGTATGCTGTATGCTGTATGCTGTATGCTGTATTTATCAAGTTTTATCAAGTTTTTATCAAGTATGATGTATGCTGTATGCTGTATGCTGTATGCTGTATTTATCAAGTTTTATCAAGTTTATTTGTCTGAAATGGCGCTCAACGTAATGACCTTGGGGGGGTCAATGACCTTGGGGGGGTCAATGACCTTGGGGGTCAATGACCTTGGGGGGTCAATGACCTTGGGGGGTCAATGACCTTGGGGGGTCAATGACCTTGGGGGGTCAATGACCTTGGGGGGTCAATGACCTTGGGGGTCAATGACCTTGGGGGGGTCAATGACCTTGGGGGGTCAATGACCTTGGGGGGTCAATGACCTTGGGGGTCAATGACCTTGGGGGTCAATCAATGACCTTGGGGGGTCAATGACCTTGGGGGGTCAATGACCTTGGGGGTCAATGACCTTGGGGGGTCAATGACCTTGGGGGTCAATGACCTTGGGGGTCAATGACCTTGGGGGGTCAATGACCTTGGGGGGTCAATGACCTTGGGGGGGTCAATGACCTTGGGGGGTCAATGACCTTGGGGGGTCAATGACCTTGGGGGTCATTCGAAACTTGAGTTAAGGCGGCTGCATGACAAAAGCTGATTGCTACGAGACTCTGCATGACAAAAGCTGAATGCTACAAGACTTGATGTATGCTGTATGCTGTATGCTGTATGCTGTATGCTGTATGCTGTATGCTGTATGCTGTATGCTGTATGCTGTATGCTGTATGCTGTATGCTGTATGCTGTATGCTGTATGCTGTATGCTGTATGCTGTATGCTGGCTATGAGCACCAGTTAATGATTATGGCTATTAAATTGTAATACATTGATATACTGTTACTGCATTGTATACTGTTACTGCAGAGCGCCTGGAAAAAGTTTCAAATTAAGCAACTAATTTGTTACTAAAAGTACTTTGAATTAGTATGCTTTATATAGATTTCGATAACTTTACATCGATTTCGATAACTTCTTATTGGTTTCGATAAATTCTTATCGGTTTCGATAACTTTTCATAGATTTCGATAACTTTTTATCGGTTTCGATAAGTTTTATCGATTTCGATAACTTTTTATCGATTTCGATAACTTTTTATCGATTTCGATAACTTTTATCGATTTCGATAACTTTTATCGATTTCGATAACTTTTCATAGATTTCGATAACTTTTCATAGATTTCGATAGCTTTTTATCGATTTCGATAACTTTTCATCGATTTCGATAACTTTTTATCGATTTAATTTCATCGATTTCGATAACTTTTATCGGTTTCGATAACTTTGTATCAGTTTCGATAACTCTTTATCGAATTCGATAACTTTTTATCGATTTCGATAACTATTTATCGGTTATGGCCGAAGCTAAATGCTCATCCATTGATGCTGTAT